CAGGACGCAGACTGCTCTGGCTTCTTCCATGCTGAACAGGGACACAGGGTGTGGCAATTGGGGTACCCCTTCAGTGGGTCTATTTAAAAGACTCCCAAATTGCATAAGTTTTAACTGTAGGGAGAAAAGAAAGTCCTTGACCAATGCCAGGGAGATATGAAGAAGTAAAAGCAAGAATAGTTGAAGAGTCAAAATGCAAGAGTCAGAATACACTGACTCCATTTTGGCTAGCTGTTTCAGGCAAGCCTGGGCATGCCCAGGCATGATGTAAATCTCCAGTTGCTACCCCCTCCCCCAAAGCCATAGATTAAGCAAGCCCAGGCACTTAAAAGCCTTATAAGGTAGAAACAGAAACTTCTGGCCCTACAGATAACAGCACATTCCAATGCCCTAAAGACAGCCCCTACCAATAAGAATCCTCCCTGTACTCAGAACATAGGACCATCCAATCATTTTAAAGTGCATCTGGCATGTGCACGCTTCAGCAAAACTACCTATAAAAAGCTTGCCCCACCCTGTTCGGGGCTCTCAGTATGGATCCGCTGAATCAGTGAAATCTGAGGGCCCGAGCTTAAGCCGGAATAAAGGCTCTTTGCTGTTGCATATGCTCTGGACTCCTTGGTGGTCATTGGGGGTCACAAGAGCTGGGCATAACATAGTTAGCATTACAAGTTCTGGACGGGGAACCAGAAAAAATCAGAGCAGGGTAAATTTTAAATGTCCAAATTAAAGTTCTTTGGAATTTCTTGATGAGGGCTTCTAAAAGCATCCAACTATTGGGTTCCTCCTCATTTTTCTTGTGGCTGCCAAGGCTGGACTCAAGAGTGATGAACCTAGGATTTGTTTTCAGGCATTCTGATAGCTGTTGGAGTGGCTAGAATCAGTCTTCTAGATAGGGAGAGAAAATAAATGTAGCCATCATTTTACAACAATTGTAGCTGCAGGTGGGCACTACAGTATTGGAGACCAAGATTTGAAGTCTTACACCTGAGCAGCATTTTCTTGTTAAGAACAAAATCACTACTGAGAAATAATTGTCTAAATAACATTTTACCTGGACTTAAGTCTAATGTCTGGGAAATGCAATCCTTTGGACTCCTAAAGAAATATACTGATTACTTTAAGTTTTGGTTATACTTTTCTTTTGGGTGTTTAAGACCATGCATTTGGCCCAAATAAACCAATTTACTTTTACTTTAAGGTCAGTTAAGGATCTGGTCCTCAGGAGTCACATGGGCTTGGGGGAAGTCCCTGGCTCCTTAGGCTTTTCTTTTACCAGTTCCATCTACGTGACAATAAGTCAAGAGGTCCTGCTTGATTGTGGCTTCGCTTGGAAGCATGGAGGAAATGTTTTCTCTGTGTTGACCCTCTTCTTTGCAGACTGGACACTGGTTTGATTCCCTCTAGTGGGGTCTCCATGACCTCCCTGACCAAGCGAACAGGTGGCCCATCACAGTTACAGGACATATCAAAGGATTCCCATAGTCCCCTGGGACACTGTCAACCTTCCAGGGCAAGGAACAAAACTGTCCCTTAAGCACCTTTGTCCAGATTAGTATGGGCCTTTAAATATGGTTATTAACCATTCAAGAAGGTCAGTTGCACCAGCCTGGTACCTTTAATTACTGTGTAATATATAGATAAAGCTTGAACAAAACCCAAATGTTCTCAATAAACACTGACTGGAAGAGATTTACCATCACAGGTTAACTAGGCACAGCCTGGGAAAGGGACCTTAAAACAAGAATTTCTTTTTTTTTTTTTTTGGTCTTTTTGAGACAGGGTCTCCCTGTAGCCCCAGCTGTCCTGGAACTCGCTATGTAGACCAGGCTGGCCTTGAACTCACAGAGATCCGCCTGCCTCTGCCTCCCAAGTGCTGGGATTAAAGGTGTGCACCACCAAGCCCAGCTAAAACAAGAATTTCTTAAGCCTGTCTCAAGTGAAGGCTGTTCTATTACAAACAGAAGCAGTTTCCTTTTAGTTTTCTATACCTGATTTACAGTTTTCGGAAGGAAGGGAGGCATTACATCACATACCCATGGACAGGAAATAAACTGATCAGAATTCAGACCAAGCTTCACAGAACTCTTTCCTTATAGATTGCAAACATCTGGTTCAAGGAGGTAGACCTAGTTTTTCTTGAGCCAAATCATTCTTGTTATGGGCAAAAGAAAGTGCCAAAAGTAACATTTGCATAATACAGAGAAACATAAAAGGCATCTTTCAGTAGTCATAGGAAACCCAATACTTATCTGTACCCATTTAATCCAAATCTGTAACCCATTTTGCAGTACAAGCCAGGAGTGGACTGAAAATTAACAACTCTGTATCTCGATAAACCTGTTCAGACCTTTTAATAAGTTTGTTTAAAATGAGTTTCATTATCCCTTCTATTCTGGAAATATCCTGTCATTTTAATCTTTATATATAAATCTTTACTACTATAGTCCTTTCAAATTCAGGAGACCATTCACAATTAGGGCAGAATTACATACAGCTGGCTGGGAAGAATGGCTGGGTACCCAGGTGAGGGTCCAATGACCCTGCTTATCTCCTCTTTAATGAAGGAATAACAACCATCAGCAAGCCCAATTATGATAACCTTTTATAAGCAGGCACAGCTGAAGTCATAAAGATGGAGTTCTCTGACTCAGAAGAGTACTGTGCAGCATCATCTTATTATATAAGATAATAAAATGAGTTAATATTACCATATACACATTGTGCTTTAAGTTCCCAGGTAGACCTTATAGTTCAGAGAGTGGTCTATCAAAGACCTCTAAACACAAGGTAAAGAGAAGCAACTGGCACCCAACCTCCAGCATAATCTCTTAAGGAAAACTACTATAACCCTGCTCAGAATTTAATAAACCCTTTTAATAATAATGGTTCCCAGCCAGCCGCTGGGCTAGGCCAGAGCAGCTAAGATGGCCAATTTTGAGGACCTGGTGTCAGACGAGGAAAAGGTAGGCATAGCTGCTAAGTTTATCACCCATACACCCCCAGGAAAGTTTAATGAAGTATTCAATGATGTCTGGCTACTACTTAATGACAATCTCCTCAAGGAAGGGGCAGCACATGCATTTGCCCAGTATAACATGGATCAGTTCACACCTGTGAAGATAGAAGGATATGAAGATCAGGTCCTAATCACTGAGCATGGTGACCTGGGCAGTAGCAGATTTTTAGATCCAAGAAACAAAATTTCCTTTAAGTTTGATCACTTATGGAAAGACACGAGTGACCCCCAACCAGAGGATGTAGATGGAGGTTTGAAGTCATGGAGAGAATCCTGTGACAGCGCTTTAAAAGCTTATATGAAAGATCATTATTCCAATGGCTTCTGTACTGTTTATGCTAAAACTATAAATGGGCAACAGACAATTATTGCATGTATTGAAAGCCACCAGTTTCAGCCTAAAAACTTCTGGAATGGTTGTTGGAGATCAGAGTGGAAGTTCATCATCACACCTGTTGGAGACCTCTGTTATGCAAAGTAGAAGTCCCTTCATGACCAGACAGCTCATGCAGCTCAGGATCATGTGCTGAGGGCTCCTTTCATAGCAGGGTGTCTTCCTGGCATCTTTCCTGTCTCTCCTTTTGAAGTGTCCGCCACAAATGCCATAACATAAACATGGCCTTTGGCTCTGAAAGGTACCATGCCTTCCTGTAATTTCTCCAGGCAGACAGCAGTCTGGCAGAAACCCACTTCCATATGTAAATAGAATGCCTCACAAAGCATCTAACAGTCAAAGCTTTTACCACTACCCCCATGGTATGAGTATCCTAGTTTTCTCTTAACAGACAGAGAACTGGGTTGCAGAAAGCTGTGACACAGAGAGCTGGGTCGCAGAGCTGCTGAATTACTGAGAGCAGAGACATTTAATAAAGCTGTAACACAGACTAAGCCAAGCCTTGAGTCCTGTGCCTTACTACCTGCAACCTAGCCTCTCCTGGGGGCAGCATTCCCTCGTGACCGACTTACGGACATCCTAGCTTTCGCTGTCTTCGTACTTCTCCCGTGAGGTCCAGGTGGCCAGTGGACCTCGCATCCTGAGGAAAAGTACACAGGTGGAAAAGGGACAGGATTTCGGCTGGACAGTGCTCCAGTAGCAGAAAGGCTGTCAGCACCAGAGAGCGCACGCACACCGGCAGGGGAGCCTGCAGATCCGTCGTGCCATTCTGGGAGTGCGCATGCCCCATATCTGGCGGCACAACGTGGGACCCTCTGAACAACGTGGAGCTTAGCCTCTAAACCTCGTGCCAGCTAGGAGCTGGTGCCCACAGAAACGCTAGAATCCGTGAGTATCCCTCCCACTCAGGAGGGTAATCTAATCTCTTCCTCTCTTCTAAAATTTCCTCCTTTCTCTTCCGGTCTAGAAGTCCTTGCGAGGGACCACTAGGACCAGAGAGACAACTGAGGTTTCCTGGCCAGGGCTACCCCCTGGTGTTAACTAAAGGTCTCTCTGAATCCCTGGGGGACCCCGACTGCCTGTATAGGTGTGGACAAAAGACCTCTATCTAGACATCTCTTTAATATCAAACCTGGTGACGCATTGGCCAAGTAAGAACCATTAGGGTTGGCCGCCAGCCTCTCAAATTTGCGGGCAGGTCTTGTGACTGGGAGCCACTGTGATCCCCTGAAATTTTAATTTCAGGAACGTCCCTTTGGAAACCGTCACTTCTCAACTTTTCTATCTGAACACTGTTAGAGAAAAATCCCCAAAGATTCCAGGGATCACGACCTAAGCTTTGGAGTCAGGCAAATTCCTCTACCCTGTCCCAAGCGTTCAAGCAGCAGCAGCTAGAAGCCAGTTCAGTGAAAATTCAAATTAGCTAACTCCTGCCGAGCGCCTGTAGCCAAAAGCGGCTGCCAGAGCAAAATTTAAAACTGCAACTTTTTTTCTGCAAAGGCGCTTCTCCCCTCTAGTGTCCAATTGCTGTAAAAACACCCTCCCTTTACAATGGGAAATTCTGTATCATGCAAAAAAAAAGCTTCAGATTCGTTCTCTTAAAACTCTACTCAAATCCAGAGGACTTAAAATTGCAAAAGAGGAAAGCTTAAAATTTTGGAATGAGGTGTACCAATTTGCACCCTGGATCATATCCGCAGACATATCTGATCCAGAGGTGTGGAGCTTTCTTTCACATTTGGCATATAAGAAAGAAGCCCAAGAAAAGCATAATTTTCCTCTTTCCTTTTTTCCAATAATGGCAGCCATCCAGCAATGTTTAAAAAATCCACCTAGAATTAATGAGAATTTACAGGCACCAGAAAATAATAAAAAAGAGGCTTTAGATCAAAAAGATCCCCAAAACAGCCCAGTAACAAATTCAACAGCCTCAAAATTAAAATCTGACCAAACCAAACAAAATCCACCCATCAGTAGAATTAATCCTTACCCCTCTCTAGCTGATTTAACAAGCCCAGATACTAAAGCCCAAATTTCAAAAGCTTCCAAAAATTCTCAGGCAAAATTCCCTCCTCCCCCTCCACCTCGGCGACCTCCACCCCCTGTGGAGACATGCCTTTCAGTTGCAGAGCAGCTGTGTAACGATAGGGACAATGAAAGCTGCCAGCCTCAAAATTTCCAGCCTCAGCGGTCTCAGGACCCCCAAAACCCACCAATAGAGGCTTTTCCTGTCAATTTACAAATAACCAGGCAGCGTCCCCTAGCCTGGTATCCACTCCCTGCAGCAGAGCTTAAAGATTTGAGACAGGCTGTAAGGGAGGATGGAATTCATGCTCCTTGGACTAAATCCATACTGCAGACATTTAATACTAACCTGCTTCCCCAGGATTGGAGAGACATTTGTAGATCTACCCTCCCCAGTCCATTATTTGTACAATGGGAAGCCTTATTTAGAGATGAGTGCCTAATGCAAGCTAAGAGAAATGAAACTCATAATCAGCAGCTGAGACCTCAACCAGGACAGGATCCACCAACTGGAATTGGAATTATGACCAGCTTTTTGGCCAGGGTAATTACTCCACAGGAATTCAGCAAGCTGAAATCCCTGCTGGATGTATAGAGCAGATTCGCTTATGTGCCCTGCAAGCTTGGGATCGCTAAACACCATTGTCCCACGTGCCTGGAGAAACTTCTGCATTAACCTTTTTGAAGCAGAAGCCAACTGAGGCTCTTCCAGATTTTATACTAAGAGTGCAGACCAGTTTAGATAGAAAAATAACAGATCCTGCAGCCCAAGCAATGCTTTTAAATAACCTTGTCTGAGAATGAATGATCCCTGAGCACAGACAAGCATGCCAGGGACTAAAGAATGAACATTATGA